GGGGGAGGAGGGGAGGTGGATATGTGGAAGGGGGAGGTTGGAGAAGGGTTGGCGATTGGGGTCAGATGGGCGAGAGGGGGGGGGGGCAAGATCGGATGGGTGCGAGGAGGGTTTGGAGGCTGAGTGGATGTGTGGGAGGTGGGTGGAGCGATTGACATAGGATATGGAGGCGGGGCGGGAGGATGGTGATGTTCTTTATGTAATCTGGAAATCAAGACAGGAGAAGGCATACAAAATGGCGAAAAAGAAACAAATATAATTTCCATCGAATCCTAATTTCAGAAAAACAAACAAAAATTAATGCCACCAAATATACACCTTCCTCTTTTTTACAATGCCTCTGCAATATCTCTTGCTAATCCCTGTATTCTTCACCATTACCCACAGGAGGATATGGCTTCGCGACAACCTACGACATGGTCAACACCGACCAGCCGTACAAAAAGGCCTGGCTGGTGACGGAGCCGGCCCCGAAAACAGGAGCCCTGGGGAAATGCCTCGAGTTTGCGGTGAGTCGTAGCTGTTGTGCGAACCATTGTTGTTATTGTTGCTGTCAAAGGGATACCTATCGCTGTTATGTCTATGTGCGAGTAATATTTGTCCCCTCCCCCACCTCCCCCACTCCCCAGTACGCCAGCTACGGCCTGGGCATCGAAGAGTTCCAAGTCCTCCTGATGACTTACCTGACGGAGGACGTGAATGACGCCCTGGAGAACAACACGTCCCCGATCGTGTTCCAGCGAACGAACCTCATGAAGCACAAAGGTTCGACTCGCGGACAATGGCAGCCGGCGAAGATTACGTTTTCTGCTAAGGGAGACTTCAGCGTGGCGTTCGAAGCGGTACCGAACCTCATGTATGAACGGTACACCGGATACGTCGCCGTCGATGACATTACCTTCAAGGACGGACCGTGCGAGAGTGAGTAACGCCGAGATAGACAGGCGGAGAGATACATAAAAGATGGACTTATTGCGTGTCTCTATCTCTCGAGGTAGTATAAATAAAATATGATAAATTAAATGAAAAAAAAGAAAAGAAAAGAAAAGAAAAAAAAAACGTATCAACCCAGCCATTTTCAGCAGGATAGGAAAGGTGAGAATTTTTTTGAAATATAGCATGGACAGAGAAAGGTTGGAAATGTGAATCAGTAAGACATGATGAAAGTAGTAGGATAGATTTACTTTTTTTTTTTTTTTTTTTTTTTTTTGTAGAGTGAATGGGTTTAGTTGGGGGTGGAGGTGAAAGGAGGGTAAGCGAGACGGGGAGGAGGGAAGGCTGTAGAGAGGAGAGAAAGGGAGAGAAGGAGAGCGAGAGAGAGAGGGAGAGAGGCGGGGGAGGAGAGAAAAAGAGGGAAAAAAGAAGACGGAAAGAGCAGGAGAGGGAGAGGGTGTATATTTGACCTCAACTTTTACAAGCTTTTATCAAAATTTTCTCATTTTCTTTCGCCAGATGAGTGTATATTCGACCTGAACTTCTGCGAGCTGACAAACGAGCCCAACAACGACGACTTCGACTGGTCTCTGGGTCGAGGCACCGAGAGGACCAACACGGGGCCGACCAAAGACCAGTCGTCCTTTCTCTCCAACGGAGTCACTAGTGGTTGGTTCCTTTTTGTTTTTCGTTTGATCGGTTGTTGCTTTTTGTTGTTGTTCCTTTAGGTGCCCCTTTTATCTTTTATTTATTTTCTTTGCGCCCTTTCTTTTTTTTTGTTTTCTTTACTATTTTGTGGCGGATTTTCTGACTTTTTCAGTTTGGCGGTCTCGTTTTCTTTCCTTTGTTCCTCTCTGGAGGAGGGAGCGGGCGCCACCCCTTGGGCGTCTCCCTCTCTCTCTCTCTTTGTGTCTCTCTCATTCTCTCTCTCTCGCACTCATTCTCACCCTCTCACTCGCACCTTTTCTCTTACTCTCACCCTCTCGCTCACTCACACCCTCTCTCTCACTCTCACTCCTTTCTCCCCCCCTCCACTCCCTCCCAATCCATTCCTCTCTTTCCCTCCTCCTCCCTCTCCTCCCCCCTCCCTCTCTCTCTCTCTCTCTCTCTCTCTCTACCCATCTATCTATCCCTCTGTCTATATATAGTTATCTCTCTCATCCACTCTCTCTTGACAATTTTTAATCCATTTTGCCACACCTATCGTACACAGGTGGTTACGCCTACATCGACAGCAGTTACCCGAGGACAGATGGCGAAATCGCACAGCTGGTTTCTCCTGTTCTTGATCCAACTGAGTCCCCAATGTGCCTGAAATTCTGGTTGAATATGTATGGCAGCGGTATCGGAGCCTTGAGGTATGTGCTTGTCTTGGCCTTCCGTTTATTTTTCTTTGTGTGTGCGGTGTGTGTGTGTGTGTGTGTGTGTGTGTGTGTGTGTGTGTGTGTGTGTGTGTGTGTGTGTGTGTGTGTGTGTGTGTGTGTGTGTGTGTGTGTGTGTGTGTGTGTGTGTGTGTGTGTGTGTGTGTGTGTGTGTGTGTGTGTGTGTGTGTGTGTGTGTGTCTGTGTGTGTGTGTGCGGGTGTGTGTGTGTGTGTGTGGTGTGTGTGTGTGTGTGTGTGTGTGTGTGTGTGTGTGTGTGTGTGTGTGTGTGTGTGTGTGTGTGTGTGTGTGTGTGTGTGTGTGTGTGTGTGTGTGTGTGTGTGTGTGTGTGTGTGTGTGTGTGTGTGTGTGTGTGTGTGTGTGTGGTGTGTGTGTGGTGTGTGTGTGTGTGTGTGTGTGTGTGGTGTGTGTGTGTGTGTGTGTGTCTGTGTGTGTGTGTGTGTGTGTGTGTGTGTGTGTGTGTGTGTGTGTGTGTGTGTGTGTGTGTGTGTGTGTGTGTGTGTGTGTGTGTGTGTGTGTGTGCGGGGGTGTGTGTGTGTGTGTGTGTGTGTGGTGTGTGTGTGTGTGTGTGTGTGTGTGTGTGTGTGTGTGTGTGTGTGTGTGTGTCTGTGTGTGTGTGTGCGGGTGTGTGTGTGTGTTTGTGTGTGTGTGTGTGTGTGTGTGCGTGCGTGCGTGTGTGTGTGTGTGTGTGTGTGTGTGTGCTTGTGTGTGTGCTTGTGCTTGTGTGTGTGTGTGTGTGCTTGTGTGTTCGTACCCACGGTTGTTTGTGTACATATTTCTGTGCGCCTTTAAACCCAAGTACTGTATATTTCTCTGGATCCGGCCACATACCGGTGGAATCTTTGGAGCAACTCCCTGTCTAAAGACAACACAATCAACCGTCATTTCCCGATCAACCTCCTCAGGGTCCTTTACGCTCCAACGGCGACCGCGAACAACATCCGGGAACTTTGGAAGCAAGAGGGACCGTCTTCAGGCACTGATGAGTAAGTTAGTCTCTCTAGTTCTTTGTGGTTTTATTTTTCTTCTTTTCTTCCCTTTTCGTGCGTCTTTCCTCTCCGCATATAGATTTATTTTGCACTCATTCCTAGCCTTTTTTGTCAAGTTCGGTGTTTCTGGCATAATCTGGAAATAATGATACAAATGATTTTTTCCATATTTTTTTCAGTCGGTACCCTTTTCTGTAAAAATACATTCATAGCCCTTTCATTCATTACTCATTTGCTGTCCTTTTCCTGCTGCTTCTTTTTGAATTAATAATGGAGACTATAATGCTTGAGTCTATTTTTTAAATATTCCTTTCGGTCTTGCCTCCTTTAGTTAAAGTTTAATATAATCACTGTCGTTGTTCCCTTCCACTTTTTAATCTCATATACAAAATAATGTTAAATCCAACTAAATTATATTTTACACGCTCTCCGCTTTCAGTGATAATACAAGTTGAATAAATAAGGTAATGTAACTCATGCAATTATTTTTTTTTAAATCCCGGATCCGGATCACCGACAAAATTTAGACACGCCTCTGGATAAAAGTTTTCCCGTTAAGCAACGAACAAACAAAAACCGCGGCCAAAAACAAAACCACCTTGGCTGTGGTAATTAAATAAATATGGCCTCCAGTATTTAGTTGGCTCCATTAATAGAACAACCGAAATTTAATCTAATTTCAACTAAACTATCCTTGCCCCTTCTCGTTTCAGTTGGTACCCCTGCAAGGTGACGGTGGCTTCGGCGGAGAGTTTCAACCTGATTTTCGAAGCTTCAGTCGGCACTCGAGGCTCGGGTGACATAGCCATCGACAGCATCACGTATTCCAAGGGGGCGTGTCCTAGTGAGTGGGGCTCTGGGAATTTCGTCTTATGTCGAGATAGTTTGTTGGAAAACTTTTGTTTTCTTGATAAAAAATCGCATTTTGTAAGTTCTAGCGGTTTATTTCTGTCCTCTCTGTTACTTCTGTGTTTGAATCATGGTCAGGCATTCATTCCAGATTATTAATCACCTTTTTTCAAACATGACGACCCAGTCAATCAATATACAGACATACACCATTCCTAAAACAAAACCCTGTTTTCACCTCTCCACTCCCACTGTCTCTCGTGTCAGGTCAGCCTTCGTTCTCCACATCTACCTGGGGGGACTGTGACTTCATGGAGAATACCTGTGGCTGGCAAATCCCCTATTTCCCGGATGAAGTTTGCTCGATGCTATCCCGCGTCACAGAAAACTTCGAGAATCCGCATGGACATACAGAGTGAGTGAAGTTGAGAAGGACGTCTGCAAGGGTTTTGCTGTTGATGGTGATATTGATGTATGAAGATGGCGGTGATTTAGTGTGTGAAGTTTTGTGGTAGTGATATTGTCAGATTATGGTGGCGTTTGGTGTAGTTTGTTGTCAAGTTTTGTTATAGATTGTCATATTGTTTTGATGCTGATGTTTATATTGCTGTAAGACGAGGGTGGTGATTGTGGTTATGTTGTGATGTATTGATATGTATATCCAAAGGGATTTTATTTCATGTGTCGACTGCGTTTACGGTATATTGCTAAATTGCCTTATGGTTTCGAAGTTTGACCACCGTAATAAAGATAGTAATTTAGAAAAAGGTGTTCTTTGAATTGCTAGTTTTGATGTGATGCATTAACACATGGTTATATCAATTAAATTCACGACATTTAGTGTCATA